AAAAAAAAAAGAGATATCTTCTTCAATATGACGTTAGCATCAGGTTGGGGAGGGCAGCCAATAACCTGGAGGAAAGCTTGTAAGGTTTGAGGGTGGTATACTGGAGGTTTTTCTTTTTTTTTTTTTTTTCCTTCGAGATTATGATGTCTAATACGGCAACTCTATTTAAATTCATTTTACATAGTCTAGGAAACTTCTAGAATAATGGTTTTCAGGATGACTTTTCAAAAGTCCTTTGGTGTTGGTTATCCTTCCCCAAATTTCCTCCTTTACCCTGCCCTTCCCTCATCTTTACCATCTAATCCGCAGTCTAGTTTCCCCATTATCATATTTAACACTGTATTCTATTTCTTCTTTCTTGGAAGAGCCCCTTCTCCTCCTAGGCCCCCCATGAGTTGCCTTACTTCTGTGAATATTTTAAAAGAAACACACACATTTAAAGCTTAAAATCTAGCATGCACACATGAGAGGAAACAGGAAGTGTTTCTGGTTTGAGTTAACTCCCTCAGAATGACTGTTTCTGGCTCTGTCCATTTATCTGTAAATTTCTTTTGTCCTAACAGCTGAATAATTTTCCATTGGGCAAATGTACCATGTTTTATTATCTGTTTGCTGACTGATCGACATCTAGGCTGTTTCCAATTTCTGGTTATGATATATAGAGCAGCAATAAGCATGATTATTTGCCAGCAATGATACAAGTTTCTCAGTGTTTTTCCAATTCTGGCATGTTTTCTATTAAGATTCGAGGAGAATAAATCCTGAGTATTCTCATAGTTTTTTTTTTTTTAATATGCTATTTAAAATACTTCTAGGAATCTTCACACTTTAATTTGAATAGGTAATAATTCTTTTATTTGGTTTTAAGAATTATTTATTTATATTTATTTTTTTGGGTGTTTTTCACACTATGCCTCCCAATCCCACCCATTTCCTGTCCCATCTCAAAACAAAACAATATAAAATTTAAGAGAAAGAGAGGGGAAAAAAATCAAAGAAAAAAAAGGAAGAAGGAAAACTAATTCTTGTTTAAAGGACACATTACACAGTTTGGTAGTATGTCTTAGTTATGGTTTCTATGGCTGTGAAGAGACATCGCAGCCACTGTTATGAATTGGCATGAGTGGGGAACCCCCGGCTGGCCAGGCTGGAATATCCCACGCGTGAGGGACAACATGCAGGGCAGATGCAGTGGGGGGATGGCACATGGAAAGTCATTCACACCCAGGCGCTGCATCCACGTGAGTGTTTATTATAACAGATGAAGAGAAGATAGGAAAGAGGGAGACAAGGAAGAAAGAGAAGGGAGAGAAAGTGGAGGTGTGCACATGTCATGGGGATGGAGAGAGAGAGTGGGGAAGAGAGAGAGGAGGGGGAGGAGTTTTTCCTCAAAACGAGGCTTTTACACAAGGGGCAGAATTTCTTTTTGTTTGTTTGTTTACTTGCTTTTCGAGACAGGGTTTCTCTGTGTAGCTTTGCGCCTTTCCTGGATCTCGCTCTGTAGACCAGGCTGACCTCGAACTCACAAAAATCCACCTGGCTCTGCCTCCCAAGTGCTGGGATTAAAGGCGTGCACCACCAACCCCCGGCAAGGGGCAGGATTTCAAGGTTCGGGTCAGAATATTAACAATCACAGCAACTCTTATAAAGGAAAACACTCAACTGGGTGGCTTACTGTTCAGAAGCTCAGTTCATTGTCATCATGGTGGAACATGGTGGCATGCAGGCAGACATGGCCCTGGAGAGAAAGCTGAGAGTTTTACATCTTGATATGTAGGCAACAAGAACAGGACTAGGACACTATGTGTGTCTTGAGTGTATAGGAGACTTCAAAGCCCTCCTCCACAGTGACACACTTCCTCCAACAAAGCCACACCCACAACAACAAGACCACACCTCATAATAGTGCCATTCTCTACGAGCTTATGGGACCCAGTTACATTCAAACTACCATAGGTTGTATTTACAAAGAACAGCATCCCACAGAAAAATTCAATGAAAAACATAAATTTCAGATTTCCCTGAAAGGTATAAGCCCCTCTTAAAATCACATATGGAACCTGCCATTGATCATTACTGTCTTACTTGTTGGAACTACTATGTGCATTGGCAATTGATGACTTCTGAGTGGAGAAGAGGCACTCTCCTTTGAGGATATGCATATGGTAAGCTGCTCTTTCCCCACTGGATGGCCATATACACCTGAGCATATGGTCAGATATAATTGCTCACACAGCTTTATAATTAACAAAACAAAATTTTAGAGGAAGATGGGGACACTGGGGATTGGAAGGAGGTAGTGGTAGAAGATTTTGATCAGTATATATTATATCAATTTATGAAACATCCAAAGAATAAAAAAATAGTACTAAAATCCACCTGGATAATAAGATTTTTAGGAGGTAAATCAATTGATGAATGTTGTTAATTTGAATATCTTCATTTTCACAATAGTGTGGTTACATATTCTTTGATAATTCCATTTACAAACTGAAAAAAGCATTCACAAACTGATAAAAGTGTTGACAATTTCATTGTAGAAGCTGAACTAGAGCTACGTTTATTAAAGTTTGGGATTAGAGAAGTTCTGAGATCCTAGGCAACTTTAATTTAAAACATCTCTTCTGAGACTTCTATCTCTGAGTATACATACGTATACTCTCATTTATTCTGTTTCTCTTATACATTGACATGTCAAGTTATGTACTATAAAATGGCATTATAGTTAATGATGTTCACATAAAATAACTGTTATTATTGAACCAGAAAATAGGCCCTATGTTTTTAAGTTAGAAACTGTGGTGATATATTGTGTACCCCAATAAAGCTTAGCTGGGGATAAGAGGACAGAGCCAGCAACTAAACTAGACATAGTGATCAGGCAGTAGTGGCACATGCCTTTAATCCTATCAGTTGGGAGGCAGAGATCCATTTGGATCTCTGTGAGTTCAAGGCCACATTGGGCTACATAAAAGAAACAGAACCAGGCAGTGGTTTACACGTGCCTTTAATCCCAGGACACAGAAAGGTATATAAGGTGCGAGGAAACAGGAATTTGCTCTCTTGAGGTTGATGATTTCATAGAGGTAAGCTATTCTGCTTCTCTGATCTTTCAGCTTTCACCCCAATATCTGGCTCTGGGTTCTTTATTATAAGACCTTTTAAGACACATATTACAGGAAACATATGATGTTACCTGTTTTTTCATCAATGTTTTACTTATACAAGTTGAAGAATAACTTCTAATAAATAAATAAAAGATCTTTACCTATATACAAGTGTTAAACAAAAATCTAGATGTTCTGGGTTTGCAAATCATCTAGCTTTGCCTCAGTATATCCCATGGTTTTTACAAAAGGAGCTCACCTGGCCTTTCCTTTTCAAAATGTGTTCTAGTCAGTGAATGAGGCATGGCTGTCCATTTATTTCACAGTCACCATTGTTTCACAGCTACAACACTGAGTTTCATTTGGATATCACTTTTCTCAGCATAGCCAGTTGTGATTCTTTCAAGGAGTAAAGGGGGAAAGGAAACCTTAAGAGTGTGCATGATCTAGCTGGCTGGAG